CAAACGGACATGATTATCTCATCAGTTATGTCCCATGTCACCTGCTAATTGCCCATTATTCTCCAACTGTACCTGCAGGCATTTTAGGTTCCACCATATTTCCTAACAGTACCACTGTATCATGGAACAGGTAGTAGAGATGATTCACTGTGGACTTCCTCTAAATACTAATGGAGATTAGTACAGTACTGCAGTTAATGATTCTTGGCAACACAATATTTTAATGAAATTATGGAGTATCACCTGTTAGATGTCTCAGTGCCCATTAACGGGTATGCAGACCTTTGTCCCCTCAGACAGATCTGGGCAGGGTGGTGCCATATGGTTCCTGAAAGTAGAAGAGTGTCACATTAGTGTTAATGGGATGTCAGTGAAACAGACTTGGCAGTTGTGTGGAACAGATAAAAGGCCATGCACTTCCTCCGAAAAGGGCAGAGAGATCAGATTAACGTTCCATTGGTTCCTTTCTAATGATAGAAAAGCTTGTATTTCTCAGTCTAGCCTTTGTGGGCGTCCTGAATTCTCTTATCTATCTGTCAGGAAGGGCTTATATCTTGGCATCTGGTACCTTTTATCACAAAGTGTAGAAGTACCCTTTATCCATAAAGGTTCTTCACTAGAAGCACTGCAACTAGTAAAGAATTTCAACAGTAATTTTTGAGCTTGGGTTACCAAGTTGATAGATCATTCTGCATCTGATGTAGCGACTTGTATTACCACATAATAAGCAACAATGCTTTGTTTGAGACTCTAGTTGTGACAACTAAACAAGAAAATTTGAATGCAGTGCTGTAAGTTTCTTTGCTTGTTCTGTAATATTCTAAAAATTCCAGGATCAGCATGGCCCTGCCCACCCTTCATTTCCCTCAGCCTACTCAGTAGGCAGACATCCACCTGTGAGTCTGGAGGAGAATCAGAACCCCAGGGGTGTTCCTCCCACCTGAGCCATTGACCTTCTGGGTTCATGATAGGTCAGGTCACATCATCCCTGATTAGATCAGATTAATGACTATTTATCCACCCCTCCATGAATCCCTACATGGGGTCTGTAGCAGCTATGGATGGAATTTGGCAAGGACTTCATGATCCCACAGCTCCCAGGCCTGTCTGAGAAAAATCATCTAGACATGCTAGGGCATGGGAAAGAGACCACACAAGGAACATGCTGACAGTAAATGAGTAATACCCAGCAGCATCACTAACATATTTCAGTTTAGATGTTATATCCTCCAAAATCACTTAATGAACCACAGGAGACCTGATAGAGTCATAGCAGCACATCAACTAATGTCAGTTATGGGTCTCTGGCTTGTGTTATTGTCTTGTTACCTGTTTCCAATGCTTTGTTACATGTATGTACATACAAGGAAGCTGTAGTGGAGAAAGCTTCTTGGTACGTGTGGGCTGTTACTAGGATTAGATATGAAGTTTTTTTTAAATTTCTTTTTAATGTACTTATTACTGGTATGATCAACTGTAAACCTGTCAGTGTTGACTTGAAATGAATAGAAGCAGGGCATGTTGAAATGTACATACCCTCAACAGTTATTGATGATTTTGTCATGGCACTAAAACCACAGACAGTAATCACATAAGTCCAGATGACTAGACAGAGAAGACAGGAGTATTAATAACAGGATTAGTGTGAGGGTTGGGGAGGGGTGGGTAATCCCTGCTGTCTGTCTGTCTGTCTGCCTGGGTAGTTTCCTGGGCAGGTACGGAAGGTCAGGGAGGTCATACAAGTCACTGTCTTCCTGAAGTTAGAGCACTGCTAGGTCCCCTCAGCCAATAGGGATCCTGGATTTTTAGTGATTATATCCACATAGTAGCATACTTGTGAGTTAGTGCACCTCTCTCCCTTGGGGTAGAGGCGCACTAACTAACCAGCCACCCTCTTCTCAGCCAACCAGTGAGCTGGAATTGGTCCCTCTCTAGGGACAGAGGTGCTCTAACTAACCGAATAAATTACACTATGTTGGACCCGCCCATTGTTATTTCCATGGAAACAACAACTGGCCAATAGCAGTGTCCAGCTTTCTGCCCTGGGGAATCAGAGGAGACTGACCGGCTCATCCCCACACATGGTTTGACTCTTCTTGGAGTTGTTTGGCTGTCCATCTGGGCTGATTAACGACCTAGCGGTCGTTAATCAGCCCAGATGGACAACCAAACAACTCCTCGAAACAAGACAAAAAGTGACACTAAACAAAGATTTATAAAGCAAAATCAAGTTCTAGTGGATGGAGTTGATCAACTTCGGGGACCTAGAAGTGCTCTATCTATTACTATTCTGTAGTCAGTTGGACCCAGGCCAGATTTTCACTGTCCTGTTCATTATAGGATAATTGAAATATATTTAGTCTGCTGTTGACTGGAGGTGATTTATGTCAACAAGATGACAGCTTGGCTAACAAAGAGCAATATGGAGTCAGAGGTCATTATAATCAATATGTGAAATCAACAACCAAGAAAGGGAAATCACAATGTGTTGTTTTTGAAAGGTTATTTTAGAATAAATTGATAAAGTAATATAATACTAGTAGTGTGTTTTCATAGCTTTATCAATTAATATGTTATACATGTATTAATATATACAT